ATTCCGGTTACAGAGACACTTTGCTCCTCTGGCAATGAACCAGGTATTGCATTTACTGATTTTACTCCGTGCCTTCGTTCTGAGATACTGCTCCTCTAAAACCATACTTCTACACGGCATGCGTCACCGCGGTGGAAGGGATGACTCAGCCTGTGCCAGATATTTCACTTGGAAAAAAATGCAGCTAATCTAGTCATATCACAGAAACCACTAGGGTCCAGTATATGTAATATTTACTGAAAGCCAGTCATATTTCAGAATTAAATCTACAGCTCTTTCCTCCCCACCACCAACTACCCTGACCCAGTAATCAGAGGTCTGTTTGGCTGAGAGTGTTGGTACAAACTGTCTGTCGGTGGGTGTGCTCGCACTGTAATCATGTGTAAAATCTTCTATTTCAGTGATCAGGAGACATTACAGAAAAATGTCACAATGTATCTGACACCCTAACTACACAGAATGTGTGGTAACAGCTCTAAAAAGTTAACACAACTCTGAATTGTAGCAAATTGAAAAAGGAATGGCACATTGTAGGCCAAGATAGTTGACCTGACAGAATATTTTATTCAGCTGTAGTCACAGATTGACTATTTTAGTCTAAACCTTACTATTCACAATGTATTTTCTGCAGTTCATCATTTAGTGAATACATTACTAATGGGAGTTGGTCCCTCCAGAATTGATATTCTGTGTAATTGCCAGATGGTTAATTCAATCTCAGAAGGAGACTACTCTATGCCTGTTTCAGTAGACTTTCCATGGAAAAACCTTGCAATGCTTGGAAATACTTGAAGTCCATAACTGGGTTTTATATGTAGAGACAGTCAACGACAGTAGATGATTTAGGACTCTAATAAATTTGGAGAGCGACTGGCCAGGTTCAGCGGAGGCTTGTCCATGGGGCAGGTAAGACAGTGCCCTCCCAGGTTTTGTTCCAGTTAAAGAAAAATCAATCTATTGGCGTGATAGGGATTAATGATAAGGTTTGTGTAAGAAAAAATATGTTGAGTCTGTTATGAGTATATCTCCAGTTTCCTTGTCTGGAGACACTGCTGAAAAGCTGGGCAACTTATCTGGACACGATTCAGATTTTTTGATTTTGTTTTAAACATAACACCCTTTTCTCTTGGTATAGACCCCTCCAACATGTTTCAGACAACTCTCACTTGCTTTAAGCTTTGAGAAGGGAAATCGTTAATATAGTTGATGACTAGGAATGAGAATGAGCTGAACCAGGGGTGAGGTCCTGGCTTTATACATGAGTGAGGAGACATGCATTGAGCAAACACGCATCAAACGTGCATTGAGCAGACACGCATTGAGAAGACACGCATCGAGCATACATTGAGCAGACACGCATTGAGCAGACACGCATCGAGGAGACACACATCGAAGAGATATACATTGAAGAGTCGATTGTAGAAGAGAATTTGAAAAGCGAGCACTGAGGGTTTTTTGAAGGCATTGGTGGCTATGTCCTGGTGTTGCAGTTTTTTTCAATTTGATGAAAGATGGCTTAGCATCAAGAGAAGTAGGAGGATGTTTCACTAGTCCGGTCTAGTACAGATGAGGAACTGGAGAAGGAATCTATCTGGCACGTGCGAGAAGAAACGGATATTGCTGAATGAAGCAGAGATTGTGGTAGCGGCTGGTACGTGTCCTCCAAAGAGTAGGGAAGAATCTGAGCTTTATAGAATAGTGTATACGTTAAATTGTTTTATTGCTATGGCGATTTCAAGTTATTAATCGAATAAAATTACTTTACTTGATTTTATTATCCATTTCCAAAACAAAAGAAGGCAAAATACACTTTGCTATTAAAAAAAAAACAAAAAAAAACAACTTAACATCAGTTTATACCTGGAAATTTTTGGGTGAATATTAATTACAGGTTGAAATGTGTAGAGAAATAAAACTAAAACGTAATAAAACTCTGGCCATTAAAGATACAACTAATTGAAACGTACTTGGCTCAATACATTAAAGAATGATTTAAAATCTGAGTATTATGTTAACGCAATGTATATCTCTGTGTGATACGTATTATCTATCTGTATATATCATGGTCACAATCACATTGCATTTACAGTATCAGATTACTGCACCCTGTGTAATAAAGGGACTAAATATGTCCGATTCCTTCTCAGATTGACACAGAATGCAGACCCACCAATAAATATCAGAAATGTTACTCCCCCCTCCTCCACATAGCCTTTCTATACGATTCGTAACCCGGATTCAATCATCACCCTAAATCTGATTATTACTTGTAGATGGTATGTGACCCATAAGACTTTAGTGTTCAGTAGTGCTCAGCTCTACAGACAGACCCCCGTGCAGTTAAAACACATTCACTTAACGTAACTTCATTACACACCAACATAATTCAATCTCTTAGTCTGGAAGGCTATTCCAGGTATCTACTTTCTTTTTTTTTTTTTTGAGCGAGCATTACATCTTGCTTGGATAGGCACGACAGCTATAACAAGCCCAACGGCAACATGATATAACATCAGCATGGTAAGAGTCGAGTATAAAATGAAACATGGATTGTTAATTTATGAAGAAAGCAGTTCCCGTACGAACAGTAGGGTTATCGTTGGCATGGGTACATTTGCCGATAAAATAAGCATGCAGAAGAAGGTCTGATGTGCGTTCGTATAGCGCGATTAGTGGTAGCTAGTGAGAGTCATGCTCCCTAAGGAATAAGGCCAGTAAATGATTAGCCATGTGGAGGTCTGGGAGGCAATATAGGTAGTGGGAAACCAATACATGGCCTAGTCTAACGTAGGCAACAAAAAAGAACAGAGGGTACCGACGTGATACCTAATGTAACATATAAACAACTCCTCGTCAATAAGCAAAATGATATGGGTTGGTTGGAGCTGGGGGGGGGGGTAGTTGGTAAACTGGAGCCAGCTTTTCCGGGTTATTCCCGGTGTCTGTGATGGGTGACCGTGGGGGTGGCCCGCCGTGTGTGCAGGAAACTTGGAATGGCGTAGAGTCAGAGGTCTGTTTGTGTTAAAGGTAAATTGGAGGAGTAAACCTGTAGAAGTCGGGGGGGGGGCGTCTTGAGGCCCAATGCCGCCAGGACAGTGTCCATCTCCGTTATGTCCATTACTCGATGTTCAGTGCCATGGTGCGGTATAATGAGTATGTGTGATGGTCCCCCATGGTACCCTTTGGCCGCCAGTGATGTTGTCAACGGTCAAAGGGATTTTCTCCATTGCAGGGTAGTGCATGAGAGGTCTGAGAAGAATGTTAAGTCCATACCTTCAAAACTGAAGGGGTTCTTCCCCTTGATGGCATCCATGAGTGCTGTTTTATCTTGCCCATTTTGATATTTGACCAGGAGGTCGCCTGTTGTAGAGCCTGTGAGTTGTGGCCGCTTGGGTAGGCGAAACATGCCATCCAGCTGTATCCCCTTTGCTTGCTTAGGGGGCAGCAGGGTTGCAAAAAGCCTGTGTAGGAGATGGGGCAACTCAGCAGGGGTCACAGTGTCAGAGAGGCCTCGGATTTTAATGTGCTTCCATCTACATTTATCCTCCATGGCTGTTAGTTGGTGGGTCAGTGTAGTGTGAGCCGAGGTAAGTTCTCTCACCTGCGCTGCTTGCGTTTGAGTAATCTGCTCCACCGTGAATCCCTTGAATCCGTGGATATTGGCAATCTATTGAGGAGACCGCATAGCGCGGCAGGGCCTAACATGTCGGCCGACATCGAGGACTACTCTGACTTGGGGAAATCTCCGCGGATAGTGTCTGGTGCAGGTCTGAGAGGAGAAAGGTGAGTATCTCCGTGGTGACTGGGTGACCCGCTGTCGGCTGTACAGACTTAGCCGGCCCTCGATATCCCAGATTCTCAGGGCTGTGCAGGGGGATGTCGTCTGAGCTGTCAGAGTAGTCCTCGATGTCGGCTGCCATGTTAGACCCTGCAGCGCCATGCAGTCTCCTCAATAGATTGCCAATATCCACGGATTGCCGAGGCCGATCCGGGTGCATTTTTTTAGTTTTTCTCCCCATCGGTATTGGGGTGCTGTTGGGCTTCTTGCAGTATATTCAGTAGCCGTTTTGTGTAGAATTTAGGCTGTTTGGAGTTTTGATCATCAGAGAGCCGTGAGTATGCGACTGATCAGATCGAGCGCTGGCTCCGCCACCTACTAACCTTTCTATATCTCTCTTACTGCTCCCACTGGAAAGCTATTCCAGGAATATACTACCCTTTCTATATCGATGTTACTGCACCCACTGTAAGGCTATTCCAGGTATCTACTACCCTTTCTATATCACTGTTACTGCTCCCACTGGAAGACTATTCCATATATCTACTACCCTTTCTATATCACTGTTACTGCTCCCACTGGAAGGATATTCCAGGTATCTACTACTCTTTCTATATCACTGTTACTGCTCCCACTGGAAGGCTATTCCAGGTATCTACTACCCTGTTGATATCACTGTTACCGCTCCCACTGGAAGGCAATTCCAGGTATCTACTACCCTTTCTATATCACTGTTACTGCTCCCACTGGAAGGCTATTCCAGGTATCTACTACCCTTTCTATATCACTGTTACTGCTCCCACTGGAAGGCTATTCCAGGTATATTCTACCCTTTCTATATCACTGTTACTGCTCCCAGTGGAAGGTTATTCCTGGTATCTACTACCCTTTCTATATCACTGTTACTGCTCCCACTGGAAGGCTTTTCCAGGTATCTACTACCCTTTCTATATCACTGTTACTGCTCCCACTGGAAGGCTATTCCAGGTATCTACTACCCTTTCTATATCACTGTTACTGCCCCCACTGGAAGGCTATTCCAGGTATCCACTACCCTTTCTATATCACTGTTAGCTTTTACTGCTCCTACTGAAAGGTTATTCCTGGTATCTACTACCCTTTCTATATCACTGTTACTGCTTCCACTGGAAGGCTATTCCAGGTTTCTACTACCCTTTCTATGTCACTGTTACTGATCCCACTGGAAGGCTATTCCAGGTATCTACTACCCTTTCTATATCACTGTTACTGCTCCCACTGGAAGGCTATTCCATATATCTACTACCCTTTCTATATCACTGTTACTGCTCCCACTGGAAGGCTATTCCAGGTATCAACTACCCTTTCTATATCACTGTTACTGCTCCCACTGGAAGATTATTCCTGGTATCTACTACCCTTTCTATATCACTGTTACTGCTCCCACTGGAAGGCTATTCCAGGTATCTACTACCCTTTCTATATCACTGTTACTGCTCCCACTGGAAGGCTATTCCAGGTATCTACTACCCTTTCTATATCACTGTTACTGCTCCCACTGGAAGGCTATTCCAGGTATCTACTACCCTTTCTATATCACTTACTGCTCCCATTGGAAGGCTTTTCCAGGTATCTACTACCCTTTCTATATCACTGTTACTGCTCCCACTGGAAGGCTATTCCAGGTATCTTCTACCCTTTCTATATCACTGTTACTGCACCCACTAAAAGGTTATTCCTGGTATCTACTACCCTTTCTATATCATTGTTACTGCTTCCACTGGAAGGCTATTCCTGGTATCTACTACCCTTTCTATATCACTGTTACTGCTCCCACTGGAAGGCTATTCCAGGTATCTACTACCCTTTCTATATCACTGTTACTGCTCCCACTGGAAGGCTATTTCAGGTATCTACTACCCTTTCTCTATCACTGTTACTGCTCCAACTGGAAGGCTATTCCATGTATCTACTACCCTTTCTGTATCACTGTTACTGCTCCCACTGGAAGGCTATTCCAGGTATCTACTACCCTTTCTATATCACTGTTACTGCTCCCACTGGAACGCTATTCCTGGTATCTACTACCCTTTCTATATCACTGTTACTGCTCCCCCTGGAAGGCTATTCCAGATATCTACTACCCTTTCTATATCACAGTTACTGCTCCCACTGGCTGGCTATTCCAGGTATCCACTACCCTTTCTATATCACTTTTAGTTTTTACTGCTCCCACTGAAAAGTTATTCCTGGTATCTACTACCCTTTCTGTATCACTGTTACCGCTCCCACTGGAAGGCTATTCCAGGTATCTGCTACCCTTTCTATATCACTGTTACTGCTCCCACTGGAAGGCTATTCCAGGTATCTACTACCCTTTCTATATCACTGTTACTGCTCCCACTGGAAGGCTATTCCAGGTATCTACTACCCTTTCTATATCACTGTTACTGCTCCCACTGGAGGGTTATTCCAGGTATCTACTACCCTTTCTATATCACTGTTACTGCTTCCACTGAAAGGCTATTCCAGGTATCTACTACCCTTTCTATATCACTGTTACTGCTCCCACTGGAAGGTTATTCCAGGTATCTACTACCCTTTCTATATCACTGTTACTGCTCGCACTGGAAGGTTATTCCAGGTATCTACTACCCTTTCTATATCACTGTTACTGCTCCCACTGGAAGGTTATTCCAGGTATCTACTACCCTTTCTATATCACTGTTACTGCTCCCACTGGAAGGCTATTCCAGGTATCTACTACCCTTTCTATATCACTGTTACTGCTTCCACTGGAAGGCTATTCCAGGTATCTACTACCCGTTCATATCTCTGTTACTGCTCCCACTGGAAGGCTATTCCTGGTATCTACTACCCTTTCTATATCGCTCTTACTGCTCCCACTGGAAGGCTATTCCAGGTATCTACTACCCTTTCTATATCACTGTTACTGCTCCCACTGGAAGGCTATTCCAGGTATCTACTACCCTTTCTATATCACTGTTACTGCTCCCACTGGGAGGCTATTCCAGGTATCTACTACCCTTTCTATATCACTGTTACTGCTCCCAC